TTGATGTCTTGCTTAGTTCTTACAACAGTTTCCCAGTCATGTAATATCTGCTCTTTGATTCTCCCACCTGCAGTATGGGTTAGTGCTGTTGGAATTCTGCAGAGGTCAGACTGTCACAGGTGGTGTGAATGAGATGTGTTACAAAGTGAGAAGAGGAACGGACTAAGAGAAGAAATCTCTTTCCCATTAGTACTTCTAGGAAAAAAAAACAAAACAAAACAAACAAGCAAACAAAAACATTGTTCTTCCCTAAGAAATTAATTAAATGGGAATGACCTAGGTCAGTTTCACCATAGAACTGACCGCCCAAGTCAGCCACAGAAGGGGTAATTGGCAATGAATCAGTCAGCAAAGAGCATCACTTAAAAAGAACCACAGCCAGTGTGGATCCAAAGGCCAGCCTCGGCAACTGGCCATGGTGCTGAACCCCTCCACTCCTAGAATTGCTGAATTGCAACATCAGATTATATAGGGGACACACATTGGAGAACTGTCACTAAAGGATGCACCGCTGGAGTGTCCATGGGATCTGGGAAGGGAAAAACTACCTCTTCATTGGCCTAGCACCATCCCTTAGCCCACTAACTTGGATTCTCAGATTCTTCTTCCCTTCTTCCTTCTCTCTCCCTCTTCCTCTCCTTCCTCCCTCCCTCCCACCCTCTCTCTCCCTCCCTTCTTTCTTTCCCTCCCTCCCTCTCTCTCTGCCTCTTTCTCTCTCTTCCTCTCCCCTCCCTTCCTTCCCTCCCTCTCTCTCATTCTCTCACTCTTTCTGTCTCTCCCTCCCTCCCTCCTCCTTCCCTACCTCCCTCTCTGCCTCTCTCTCCCCCTCCCTCCCTTTCTTCACATCCTTTCTTCCTTCCTTCTTTCCTTCCATTATTGATTCATTTATTTAAAAACTTAAAAAAATAAAAGATAAGCATAAGCCAATCAGAGAAAGACAATTATCATATGATTTCACTCATACGTGGAACTTAAGAAACAAAACAGATGAACATAGGGGAAGGGAGGGTAAAATAAAATAAGATACAATCAGAGAGGGAGACAAACCATAAGAGACTCTTAACTCTAGGAAACAAACAGAGGGTTGCTGGAGGGGAGGTGGGTGGGGGGATGGGGTAACTGGGGGATGGACATTAAGGAGGGCACGTGATGTAATGGGCACTGGGTGTTATACACAACTGATGAATCACTAAACTTTACCTCTGAAACTAATAATACACTTTAAGTTAATTAATTGATTTTAAATAAAATTTTTTAAAAAAGATAAACATGATCATGGAAAATATGAACTCTTTCCATTTTGGAAGCTGTGTGGCAACATGGAAAGAATATGAATTTTGTATAATATGTAAAATTTCATATAAATAATTAAGAAAAACATTTGAAAAAAATGCCAAAATGTTAATAGGAGAAATGACTGAATTATAGGATTTCAGTTGACTTTTTTTCTTTTCCTTCAGTATAATTACTTTTTTTTTTCTTTCAGGTTTTCTAAAACTGACATATATTTTATAATCTGAAGAAAATAGTAAAAAATGATTAGATACAGCTACATTTTAATAGTGTCCATACCTAATACCTAGCTGTGTAAATTGAAAGAGTGATTTATCCTTTATGAGACTAATATTCCTTATAGGTAATTTGGGGATAATATTTACTTACCTATTAGGGCTGCTTTGAGGATTGGATAGGATACTAACATATTGTGGATATTCAGTAAATATCAGGGCTGCATCATAGGAGAGAGAGAGAGTCTCATGAGGAAGTCAGGAGCACAGCCTTGGGGGTGAACAAGCCCAACAATAATAATGTGTGTTGTGTCAGGCCCTGATATTTGAGATGGAAACCCATTTTTACTTTGTACTCATTTTACCTTGAGTACCTACATTAGGTGGGTGCTTTACTAACTTCTGGAGCTACAGCAATGAACAAATCTTGCCTTTCCCTTGTGCAACCTACATTACAGATTTTCTATTATAAGAAAAGCAAAGCAATTATCATCTTCCTTTTCCCTTAGTGCTTTCAGAGATCTGCTGGCTCTTTCTGAGGTATGAAGGGCTAAAGAACTGATATGTGGCAGCATCTCTCTAGAGAAGAAACACGAAGATTGGTACTAATCTACAAGAAACCTGGGTGGCCGCTTCAAACAAGTACAGGGAACACTCAAATCCACAGCATTTCACTTTCTAAGCAGATGAAAAAGATGAAGAAATTCTCAAACTGCAGAATACTGAAAGATACTACTGAATCATTCACTAAATGAGGTTTTACTTTGTCACCACCATGATTAGAAATACAGTGAACGTGGAATCTGGGGGAAAAAAAAAAAAAACTTTTCTTTTCCATGTATCACAGCAAGGAGCAAGTCCTATTCATTTCATATACCATTTCTTTTTTTTATTTTTTTAATTTTATTATGTTATGTTAATCATCATACATTACATCATTAGTTTTTGATGTAGTGTTCCATGATTCATTGTTTGAGTATAACACGCAGTGCTCTCTTCAGTACATGTCCTCTTTAACACCCATCACCAGGCTAACCCATCCCCCCATTCCCCTCCCCTCTAGAACCCTCAGTTTGTTTTTCAGAGTCCATAGTCTTTCATGGTTCTTCTCCCCCACCCATTTCCCCCCCTTCATTTTTCCCTTCCTACTATCTTCTTCTTCTTCTTCTTCTTCTTCTTCTTCTTCTTCTTCTTCTTCTTCTTCTTCTTCTTCTTCTTAACATATAATGTATTATTTGTTTCAGAGGTATGGGCCTGTGATTCAACAGTCTTACACAATTCACAGCACTCACCATAGCACATACCCTCCCCAATGTCTATCACCCAGCCACCCCATCTCTCCCACCCTCCATCACTCCAGCAACCCTCAGTTTGTTTCCTGAGATTAAGAATTCCTCATATCTGTGATATCATATGATACAAGTCTTTTTCTGATTGATTTATTTCGCTCATATACCATTTCTTTTCAGGAAGACGGGCATATGGGACATTCAGATATTTTTTGTTGAATAAATGAGGAATATTAAGAGCTTCTCTTTTTGCTACTTCATTATGTTTACTTCTGACATAGAATATTCATTTATATTATTTTTGGTTTTCATGTCCATGCTCTGCAAGATAGTTATTCCTTAGCCCCAGATTATACATAAGTAAACAGAGACTTCTGGGTTATGTGACTTTCTCCATAACAAATAGCTAGCACATGTCTGCAATTAAAATAGATCTGATGCATGACCACACCTCCTCCTTTCCATCATGCAATACCGTGAGTGAAACTGGTTTACAACATTGGATTGTGTATGTTGGAGCAGAGCTTTGGAAGGGGAATGGCATATCTAATTGGGAATATAAATGGCAGTAATTGGCAGATTCAGTGTAACTAGTAGAAGACACCTGTTCGGCTATTGACAAGTAACAGTAACTTCACTCACAATGCACAATGCTCTCTGAGCCATATGCAGTTGCAGGACTGCACTCCATTCATCCATATCCCCTTCCTGAAAATTGAAAGCCAGGTAATAAACTGATGCATTTTTCCTGAATATTTGTATGCTCACCCTTCAGATAATTCATTGATAAGTTGCTTCTTTAGGTATGTTAATACAATTAATCAAGTCATTAGCAAATCATCTTACTACTCTCTTCTGGATAAAATTCTGCTTCTAAAGATGCCTTTGATGTATATTTAATCTAATGCATTAGGTGTCAATTTTATTAATTAAACTTGGGATTCCAGATGTTCTCTCTGCCAATATTCACCATGGTGGTTAAGAAGATACTCAGAAATGCCTCAAAATACTTATGTTGTTTGGCTTTTGAGGTGAGTCCACACTAATCTTCATTCTTATGTCTCTCCTTCTAATTGTGAAAATGTGTTTATCTGAGATTTTTTTTTCAGTTTTCCATGCAACTTAAACTTACAAACTCAATCCTGCTATGATTGTCTTTCTTTACTTTGATAGCAAATACTTAGTGACAATTCTCTTCCACAAGTACAATATTCACCCTTAATATTAACAAATATCAATGAGAGGCAGGGAATCAATCTCATAAGGAATGGAACTTCCTTTTTCTTCAACTTGGGTGCTCTCTCTCTCTCTCTCTCTCTCTCTCTTTTGTTTCTTTTGCTGTGGAAGAGCTTTTTGGTTTGCCTTTGCGCCTTTGGGAATTCTGCCCCCTGCACTCAGCACTTGGTTCACTCTTCCTTCAAAAGTACCTTTGAGCATACAAAAGAGGCTGAGCCCTTCTCTCTCTTTCCCTGGGATAGGAAGTTGATTACAATGAAATTATAATAATGGCCTACCTGTGGTGAGGCAGGCCATGCTGGGTGTCCTAAATACACAGGAAGCAGGACATTGTACTAATTTAGCTGGTATTAGGCAAGTCTAGGGCTCAACCTGGCATAGCCAGGGCACTTAATGGAAACAGTGTTTCCCTTAACAAGACATGGGAATGCCCAAAAACTTAGACTTTCCCACTATACATATGGCCCTTTCTCTCCTTAACCAAAATAATAATAATAATAATAATAATAATAATAATAACAAACAAACAAATAAAAACAAAAAAATAAAATAAATGAATTAAAATGTCTCTTCTCCATTTTTCTCTTGGGACTGAACTTTCATAAATGTACCAATCAGAATAGATTGTGATTCTATTCATTAAAATATGTGTGCATGTGTGTTAAACTTGCTCAAGTTAAATTGTATTAAAAGAGATAAACAGATAAATAGGTAGCTAGATAAATATATATGAGCTTATAGTGATCCCTACCTACCAATATTATCTTGTTTCAAAGAATGCTATCTATAGTTTAACTATTTCACAAATGTTTATTTTTTCTTCTCCAATATGTAAAAGGAGAAAATGTCACTTAGATTGTATTCCAGTGACCTCCACCTGACACACAAGAGCAATAAGAAACTGTGACCCACCACAAAATAGAATTCCTGATAGCTCAACGTGGAAAGGAACAAAACCAGACCCTACCCAAGTTGAGGTGCAGGGCGAGCCTCCCCTTCTGGAGCTCCAGTGTGATGTGGTCTCCACGTTGACCTTCTCCATGGAATAGAACCCCATCTCCTTGCATGCTCTTGAACTTCAGAGAGATCACATCTTTGAGAGTGCTCATCAGCTTCTGATTGAACCTATACAGAAGGGAGCTTCGGCCATCAAAGTCAGCAACATCTGATTCTGGGAACAGGGAGAGAAAGAGAGAAAGAGAGAGAGGGAGAGAGAGATCAGTGAATATCCTCATAATTGCTCTTACTGCTTCTCATCTTTGTTGTTCTCCAATTTATAGGAATGTTCTTAATATTTGGAAGGTCCCATCTCAACAGAAAGCATACGGACTAGACCAAACCTAATTAGACTTAGGGGGATTAAAACCTCTCATTAGTGATATGTCATATTTTGCTTGAGGGGACAGGGTAATACCACAAGTACCTATGTCAGACTCTATGGTGCCAGATGCCTGGTAGTAATAATCTTTCATGATTTATCTTCATTATTAATTCATTTCTGATAGTTGGAGCCACTTGATCCCCTAATCTCAGGTTCAAGGTTAGAGATGAAAAAATATAGTCTATTATTCCACACCTAACTGAATAGCACTGTCTTCATAGAACCTGTGTTGAGAAAGATTCTGAGGTCTTCTCTGAGTTCAGTGGAAAAGAATGTGCTGTAAAGGAAGACTGCTGTTTGTATAAGGAGGGCAAATACATGACATCCTTACCATCCCTGCCTTATCCTGTGTTAGTGATATATATCATTATATTTTTATATATAAAAATGTTCAATTGTTATTGTTAAAGCAGAAAAAAGAGAAAGTCAAGTAATTATGATCTAAATCAACTTATTTAGTGGATATGTATAAACATACCTGAAAATTTCATGCCAAAATATTAACAGAGATTCTCACCTCACCAAAAAATATATAGAGATGGCAAGTAAGTATATGAAAAGACGCTCCACATCATATGTTATTAAGAAAATGCAAATTAAAACAATAAGGAGATACCACTGTACACCTATTAAAATGGCCTAAATATGGAACACTGATAACAAGAAATGCTGGCTTGGGTGTAGAGTAACAGGAACTCTCATTCATTCATGGTAGGGAAACAAAATGGAGCAGCTGCTTTGGAAGACAATTTGGTGGTTTCTTACAAAACTAAACATACTCTTACCATACTATCCAGCAACCTCACTGCTTAGTATTTACACAAAGGAGTTGAAAACTTATGTTCACACAAAAATCTTCACATGGATGTTTATAACAGCTTTATTCATAATTGCCAAATCTTGGAAGCAACCAAGATGTCCTTTAGTAGGTGGATGTATAAATAAACTGGTACATCAAGACAGTGGAGTATTATTCAGCACTAAAAAGAAATGAGCTAGCAAGCCATGAAAATACATGAACAAAGCTTAAATGGATATTACCAAGTAAAAGAAACCAATCTGAAAAGGCTACTATTTGATTCCAATGATACAGTGTTCTAGAAAAGGCAAAATTATGGGCACAGTAAAAAGATCAGTGGTTGCCTGAGTTGGGGAAGGGAAGGATGAACTGATGGAGCACAGAGGATTTATAGGGCATGGGGAAAATGAAGGGGGGGAAATCGGAGGGAGAGACGCACTATGAGAGACTATGGACTCTGGGAAACAAACTGAGGGTTCTAGAGGGGAGGGGGTGGGGGGATGGGTTAGCTTGATGATGAGTATTAAAGAGGGTACGTATTAAATGCAGCACTGGGTGTTATACGCAAACAATGAATCATGGAATGCTACATCAAAAACTAATGATGTAATGTATGGTGATTAACATAACATAATAAAATTTAAAAAAAAGAAAAGACTCTGTATGATATAATGATGGAGAAACCATGTCATTATATATTTGTCCAATAACATAAAATATACAACACCAGTGAACCATAATATAAATTATGAACTTTAGGTGATTATGATGTTATGGAACCTGGGCTGGATCACCCGACAGAAGAACGAAGTGGCACCTGGAGATCTTGGAGGATAGGAGGTTTATTTAACACTGGCGGGCTCAGAGGAGAGTGATCTCCAAAGGTCTGAGCCCCGAGCACAAACAAAGGGGGCAATTTATATACTTCTACTTCCACATACTTGGCAGTTTTCATGCCTGTGGGAAGTGGGGCAGGGAGAAGAACCCAGATTGGTGCACAGGGGAAGCGGGGCAGGGAGAGGAACCTGGAAGAGCCCTGGGGCAAGGACTGGGACTCTCTCGCTGGCTCCGTGAGCCATTTTAGGACACAGATTTTCTTTTTCAATGATATGTCAGTGTAGGTTAATCAGCTGTAGTAAATTTTCCACTCTGGTGGGGAATGCTGATAATAAGGGAGGCTCTGCATATGGAAGCAGGGCCTATGCTGGAAATCTACATACCTAATTTTTCTGTGAATTTAAAACTGCTCTAAAAAAAGTAAGCTTTTACAAATCAGTTACTAGATACTCTATTTGGGAGGTGTTCTATGTTGTTTTCACATTATTTCTCCCATTTTTTTAATTATAAAAACTTTTACAAAGAATTTTATTACTTTTACAATAGAGAAAATGTAAAGCTATTTAATATAACTTGAAACAGATTCATTACATACCATCTTATGTAGGTGGGACAGTGGTGAATGGGTATACGGAGGAAGCAGGATTAGTCTTATTTGAAATCAAGTACTCAGAAAAATCTCAATTTTTCAGTATTCATCAAGCAATTAAAATGCTCAGCTTGAACATACACAATGATAAGTTAAGTATATTATTTTGGCCAAGTTCAAGGTGCCCAAATTGAAACATTCTTTGTGAAGCCAAAATTCTGAAATGAAAGTAAAAATGAAATCATACTTTCACTGTAATTAGTTTTAAAATGCAATTTCACATTTATTCCTATGGAACAAAGTGATTCTAACCAAAAGGTTGCTGATGACTCTTTAGACCCTAAAAAGAAATAGTCCAGATACAGAGAGGTTTTCACGAATCCCCACTTCCTTTAGGCCCTTCCCATACCACCCACTCACTACTCCTACACATGCCCCCTGAATTCAACTCCTACCCAACCAAATGGAAGCTACAGACAACAACTTGTGATCAATCATGGAATAATGAGGGTCATAGTGTAGATAAGGTCATGGATTTTAAACTATGGTAGTCATAGCTTGTTAGCTGATTCACTTTGGGCAACTCTATCTCTTTGAGACTTGATTTCCTCATCTGTAAAATGGAGTAATTAACAGCCTTTAGAGAAGACTGTGGTAAGAGTTAAGTCTGATGACACATAAAAAGTGATAATATATACAAAGTGATGCCATCATGTCTGGCACATTGTTTGTGTTAAATCAATAATAGATGGTAGGGGTAGTAGTAGTGATTGAGGTAACTGGAGGGACTTGAGTTCCTAACCAGTACAACCTGGTGGCTGACACTCCACCTTCTCACCCAGAATGGTGTGATTTCACTTTTTGATTCAATGGATTACTGCCCAGGGAATGCCAAGTGTGCCCCAACTTTCCTTTTCTGCCATATTTCAGCTTCTTACACTCTAGTTGAAATTCTTTGTGTGTGCAGGGTGCATACATTATAAATCTATGTCCTCTTCTTATTGTTCCCTTCTGTTACTGCACCAGACTCTAGGTTAGGAACTGGGTCCTTAGGAACTTTGGTGTTGAACGAGTAGACATGACACATATTATTTATGGACAGCCAAGCTAATACGACTTTTGAGCTAAAACTAGAGGGCACACCCAGTGCTTTGGAAACAGAGAGCTGAAACACTATATTGTCTATGAGTGTGGGACAAATGCTTTCATGAAAAATACGGAATGTGTTATTGCTTTGAAGACACACCTCATGCCTTATGTCTCAGCCTACACTGCCCAGGCTCTTCCTCTCTCCACTCCAGGGCTCTACACCCCCCTCTCCTGATCCATCATGGCATTAATGACCTACATTTCATTCCCTCAAATGTCTAGCTAATCTAGTGACTTAGTGAAGTGTTGATGACGTAGGTTACCTCCAAGAAAATACATTTCCATATTGCCATGAAACCCAAAGCTAACAGAAGCAATCAACAAACAGAAACAACAAAAACATTGTTGAAGTCTAACAGCTCCAGGTTTCTGTTATGGTCTTGCTATTTACTAGCTGGAGGACTTGTGGAAACGTTCTTGACTTCTTTGGGCTTCAGTATTCCTATCTGTGCAGTAGAGCTAAGAGAACTCACTCTACAAAGTCGTGGTGAGAATTACATAAACCATACCTGGAAATGTAGAATCACTCAGTATTCCACCCCCCTCCATCCATTATTAATCCAAAGGCATTACTACAGTGGTAAAGATTTGTGCATTGCCATATAAAGATGATATGAAGAACATAGTTTGATTTGGTGTCTGTCATATAACACTGAGCAGGTATGCATTCAAGCCTACATCATCACTTGCCACATTCTTAAAATAGCCTCATAACTGCCCTCCCTGATTCAACGTTTGCTACCTCCCTCTGACCCATTCTCTCATCCTCATAAAACATAAGTAACATCACACATGGCCTTCGCTAAAGCCCTTCAGTGAACTCCCTTTACACTAAGAATTATATTCTCTCTCCCGTGATCTGGCTTTTTGCTTTCCCATCTCATCTTTTACTTCCGTCCCCAAACCCTGACTCCCCTTTATGCACAGTGTGCTTTCAACGTGTGTGCATGTGCAATGTGGGGATTAATCCAGATAACATATGCAGAGCACATATCAGGAGCCCTGTAATGGTGTAAATTTTTTTTTCCACATGTGAACTTACTTAACGTCGATCAACTTATGAGGAACATACTATTATTATTCCAATTTTGCAAATGATGAAACTATGGTTCAAAGAGATGAAGAAGTATGAAGTTAGCAACTGTCAGAGCCTGGATTCCAACCTGCCCCATCTGATTTAACCTGTTCTGTGTGTGCTGAGCACTTTCACAAGGGCTGCCCCCTTTCTCATGAGGATCTGATGTTCAGCTGTCAGGCAGGTGGTTGGCCTTTCCTAACAGGTTCCTCCCATTAGCTAGTCTCCCCTAAACATCCTGCTACTTCCTTCATAATTCACCTCCCAACTCCCAAGAATTTGATTCTTAGTTGTTTCCCGATGTGTTCATAGTCCAGCTCTCCAGCATGATAGCGACTCCC